AATTTTATTTCAGTATAGTACAGGAAAAAAGTCAGAATTCTGACCTTTTTTTATCAGAATTCTGTCTTTAATCTCAAAATTCTGACTTTTTTCTCAGAAATCTGACTTTAATCTCAGAATTCTGACTTTTTTTCTCAGATTCTGACTTTAATTTAAGAATTCTGGCTTTTTTCTCAGAATTCTGACTTTAATCTCAAAATTCTGACTTTTTTCTCAGAATTCTGACTTTAATCTCAAAATTCTGACTTTTTTCTCAGAATTCTGACTTTAATTTAAGAATTCTGGCTTTTTACTCAGAATTCTGACTTTAATCTCAAAATTCTGACTTTTTTCTCAGAAATCTGACTTTAATCTCAGAATTCTGTCTTTTTACTCAGAATTCTGACTTTAATCTCAAAATTCTGACTTTAACTTAAGAATTCTGGCTTTTTTCTCAGAAATCTGACTTTAATCTCAGAATTCTGACTTTTTTTCTCAGATTCTGACTTTCATCTCAGAATTCTGACTTTTTTCCCATACTAAACTGAAATAAAATTTCAAAATTAGTTAACCTTGTTTTTTTTTCAGTGGCTCTAATCCTCTTCCGTACATTTCTCTGAGAAGTATGCTGTGTATACAGACTAAATGAGCTGTGGCTAACAACATACCAAAGCCGGCTGGTCCAAATTTCCCCCAAAGTTTTTTCATCGTTAACACAAAGGTCCAAATTTGAAAATATTTGATTTTGTCCATTCAGGACATTTGATTTAACAAGTGAACTTGTAAGATAAACCCTGTTTATAACTAAATATGCAGCAAAGCCAACACTGATATTATTTGGACACGTTTTATTATCTTACATGAAATGTCAGATTTTACCTGTCCTGATTTCAGTCCTCTCCCTCCAAATGTCTCTCGGTGTTTTCTGTCAATCTGTCCTTCATACAGAACTTCCTGGAAACACAGAAAAATGTTTTAGTCCAGTGATTCCCCACTTGAAATCCTCAAAAAAAACAATTATGGGGTCTTTGAGATGCACAAAAGAAATTAAACTAAGCAATGCTTAGAGATTTTTGCATTGTTTGCAAAAAAAAAAAAAAAAAAAGAAACTACTTTAGTTGCCGATTCTGTTTTTATCAATGTTACATCTATTTGTAGAAATGTTTGTATACTAGAACTCTGCTCTAGATCACATTTACTCAGTGGGGATTTACCATTAGGCAATACTAGACAGTTGCCTTGGGCCCCAAGGTCCTGGGGGCCCCATTAATCTCAATACAACTAATTCTGTATTTATGCACTTTAATTATGTTTTTGATTAAAAAAAATCCTCTCACTAAAATGCCATCAGAACGCTGATAATATTAAGTGTGTCT